GAGTACAAAAACACGAAAAAGGGGGGGGGGGGGGGGTGTCCCGCAACAGGACACTTTAAAATTAATCATCTCATGGATTAATTTTGTAGAGCCGCTGTTGCTCATTGTTGTGGGTTTCTCTGTTCCCTTAGATTGAAATTAAGCAAGGAATCTCCATAAACTAATAGGTTTAAATTTTGAACTTTTACTTGGTGTTGGGCAAAACATCAGGACAAGAGCTGCTGCGCTGACACCTGAATGTGTTTGGAGAGAGAGAAGGGATACTAGCCCATTAGAGCCAGTTTTTCCACCTCCTGTCCCTGCAAATTGCCTCTGGAGTTATTGTTCTAGCAACACTAATGGTAATTAGGATCTGAAAGCTCTCGATCAATTAAAGCAGGCAGTCTCAGGCAGTGGGAGATCTGCTGCTGGGCTGGCTGGCAGCATGTCTTTTCCAAAGCTGTCATTGTCGTTGTCCCTATAAACAGAGATGATAAGTAGAAATTATTTATAGTGATGGATAGGAACAGTATCTTTTCTTGATGTCTCATGAACCGCCTTCACTTTTAGAATAAATCTTAACAGTCAGGAACCACTAAGCATAAAATATAGACACAAAAGGCTTACCTCGCTTAATAACTATTATCAGATTCCTTTTTGCAGTAAGCAGAAGGCTTTTTCATGTATCTAGAAGTCTACTTAATATTTAATAGACTCCTAAATTATTCATAGGTTAAAGTGTTCAACTGTTGCTGTCATTTAAAGAGCAAGTGCCCAGCAGGAGTCTTGCATGAGGTTTTGTAGATCACGTCAAAGCGTAACATTTGATTCATTAAAGAAATGTTATACTTCCAAAGGTAATAGCATCCAATTTTTATTTTGTTAATCCTGGCCTGACTAATAAAAGATAGAGTGAGATTTCCTGTTTTGATTCTCATCTACCTGCTCAGTAAAACTTTTCACTGTCCCACAACGAATGTGGGATCCTCAGACACCTGGTACTGTTGCAAGAAAATCTCTGAACTCTTTTAGGTGGAGAAACTGTCGATTTTTTTCTGCAGTCTTGGATAACTAAAACAATATGCTTAGTTTTGAGTGTAGCTTATAACACTGCTCAGCTTTCTGGAAATGGTATGCACAAATACAACATCTAGAACTTGACATTGATGTAAATCAGAGTAACTTCCCAAACTTCGTCAGAAACTGGCATCTGGTTTTTTTGCCTGCTAAGGAAATATAATTCCTGGTCCTCGCGTTTCCTCAAGCTTTCCCTGCCCAAATAAAGTAAAGGTAGTAAAATTAAGTTCACATGATTCATTTTTGTTTTTCCCTGTCTGCTTAAATCCCTTGAAAATGGTGTTAAAAAGTGCTTTTGGAAAATAGAACAGAAAAATCAAAAATGAGGAACAGGAGGAAGGAAGTTTTCTTCACTTAAAAGCCTCTTTGGCACGAACCATCTTTCCTACTCCGCATTTTGTAAGCACCTTTACTACTGGATATTGGTTTGTGGAGTTCCTCAGTCCCATTGGTGATCTAAATAACTTAAACACAGTGAAAGTTTGATTATTTTTTTTAATATAAAGTGCCTATCCTCCATATGCTCCTGCACTGTGGGGTGCATTGATGATGGTACCGTGCTTCACGTGTCCTGAAGAACTTGGTGGTGATGGTTGGCAGCACTGGTGCGGTGGCTCTACCCAAACAACCGTCCTGACTGTTCCCCAGACATGGCTTGTTTGCAGAGGGCAAAGCCAAGGCATCCCCCAGGTCTTTCCTAGTTGCTTTTGGGATTTTAGGAGTGTGTGGGGAAGCAGCAGCTATCCTGGGGCTTCCCCAGCAACAGGGTGGCAGCCCCTGGACTTGCTGGGGCATTTGTGAATGAATTTGCCTGTAATAGGAGGGAGGGAAAAATGAAGGGTTATCCTACAAAGACTTGACTAGCTTGATGTTGGTTGTAATAAGAAGGAACTCAAAAAGGGTAAGGTAAAGTCATCTAGGGATTTCATATTTAATGTTCACAGAGGTCTTTTACCAGTGAGAGGAGGATGTGCACAAGCTAGGATGAGCCTTTCCATTTATACTGTGCATTGTTTAGTTCTGATTTTCCTCAAGAGACGGAGTTTAATTCTGCTTTATGAGCAGGTATCTCTCCAAACAATAATATTTTATTACTCTGTTTTACAACACAAGCAGTCATATACTACCTAGAAATATAGAGCAAATGTAAAGGAGCAGGAAACCCTAAGTGGCCCTTGCTACTTAGGGTGAGGGATAGTAATGGCAGTGTTGGTCCTGGAGATAGAGTCTTCTTGAGAAACATCAGAAAGATGGGCAAAATGAAGGCGTTAATGTCCATCAGTCTGCAGCTAATGTCCAGGGATCATTCCTGCATGTGCTCACACTTGCCAGCTGACTCTGATCCCTGCTGCAAGAGCACTGATTTCTTTTCAGTCCCCAGAGCTGCTGCTGTTCTGACTCTTCACAGGATACCAGATTCTCATTTGATGAGAGTTATCTGTTCATGTCTATTAATTGCATGGAGAAATTTCTCCATGACTCGTTTTCAAAGTTATCGTGACATTATTCCTTACTCTGTGTCTGTAAGGTTTTGAGTGAAGGAAACTAAACTGGTCGTGTATTATTTCACATAATTTAGATTTTTGTTCTTTATTTTGGGGTTGGGGGCTACTTCAAGTTGTTTACTTGTTTCTTGGGTAAGACCTGCTGAAATGATTACTATTCGGCATTTATCTCTATGAGAAATAGTTCCTTTAAGTACGTTCTGCACAGGAGCAGAGAGGCTAATCTCATGCCTCTGACAGAGGGTTATTTTTACATAATTACTTGTCCAGCCCCTCAGTAACATGATATCAGGAAACAAGAATGACGATGTGACAGTGTGCTAAATGAACCCCAATCAAGAAACTAAGAGGGCTTTGTTGGGATTAGGAACTTGATACAGTCTTTTCCTTTCTCACAGGAGTTATGTTTTCCAGCAGACAGACGTGTTGGATTTTTCCAGCAGTAAGGAGCATGATTTATTGGGGACTCGCTGATTGCCATGTTTCAGAGAAATAAAATGAGTGACAGGTTGGAAAGGAAAGACGAGGAAACAGGGTGTTGCAGAGGCAAAGTCCAGCCCTGCAATGGGGTGAAGAGGCTGCAGGGCTTCTCCCTGCCTCAGTGTCAGCGTCTCTCCCACACGGATTTTTAAGTACACACTTGGACCTCAGCGGAAATAATTTTCAACCGGGAAGATTTTGTGAGATAAACACTCTGGAGCTGTATACAGCTGTTATTTGCAGAGCATAAATTTGCTCCTAGTCTTTTTTACCTTCGCTCATATTTTGATTATGAGGCTAAAGCATGGGATACAGCCTGTTTGTTTCGGGTGTCTCGTTTACCTCCAACTGCAAGATGGCACACGGGTCAGTCCTCCTAAAGTAGGTCCCCAAGTGTCCATCCTGAGGCAATGGAGAGCTGGGTTTCTCCTGCTGGCCTCCAGCAGGAGGGTCACTGGATCACAGGAGGGATGCTCTCCTGTGCTCAGAGGGGCAGGAATCCCTCCTGAAGACTTTCACGAGCAATTACCTCTACTCAGGGGTGATGGGGGACGTGGGTATGTACTCTGGGAGTGTTCGTCTGCTGGATACATGCCAGTCAAGTGTTCAGGCTACACTCTTGGATCTCACTTAAGTGTACATGATTTCCAGTTCCTTTCTAGTGCCAGGTCCTGTCAGAGGCACCCAATGATGGGGAACCTTGCTCTACACCATAGGTGGGGTATGAGGTGCAACCTGCATTTTTCTGTAGCCCATAGGAGAAGTTGTCTGATCTGTGCTTTGCATTGGCATGTTAATTAATGCTGCTATACCGTGTTTCAGCATTGGGTGGTGGAAGGTAAACAAGGCGTGTGTATTAAGAGCTGTTTCTGCTCTGGTTTCTGTTCCCCAGGGATATGAAGCTGGACGGTGGACGCCAGTGCCATTCTACTGGAGTGTGTCTCAAAGAGATAATTGGTCTTGAAGGTGTGGAGCTCGGAGCGGATGGGAAGGTGGGGATGTTAGATTTTTGTAATAAGGGAAAAAAATTGTGTAACTGATAACAAGCACAGATACAGAAATAAATTACAATGTGCAGCGTAACACAATAGTTAAAGCACAGTATGTGCAAAGTGAAAATCAGGACTGCCCAATTCGTCAATGCAAACAACTCTGTTTTCTTGAAGAAATTTGCCTGTGGCAACATCTGAGTCTGTAAAGCATTACTGAGTCGTGCAGCCTTCCCCTGGCTCTAATGGGAGGTATCACTGCAGAGTATATTGTCAGAAACTTGAAAAGAATTTCTGGTGAGAGTTGTAAGCTGTAATTCTGTTTGTTCTCAATCTTATTTAATAAAAGAAATTCTCCTTAACGGTATATTTTTTCCAAAGAGCAGGAAGACAGTAGTACAAATCTGATGAGTATTTCAAAATCCAAGAGTGTATTCACTTGAATCGAATAATGAATCTGTAGGGAAAGTGATCGTTTTAAACAAGTATATAGAGGACAGGTGATTTTAATCATAAAGTAAAACATTTTTTCCTGAAAGCTTGATTTACTTTCTACAGTTCAGTTTACCTAGTCATTTATGGATTTAAAGGCACTAGGTCAATGCTGCTACACATGGTGTACTCACCTAACCAGGTGCCAGGCCAGACCACAGGCTGTAAATTCCTGAGGACAATCTGTCTGCTTATAAATAAAGGAAAGCTCACAAGATTTATTTGATACCTGTTCTGACCTCCTCATAAACCAGTCTAGAGTCTGAGATGCTTTTTTTTTTTTTTCTTTCTTCAATATAATGTTATTTTTGGAAAGCAAACCTAACGAGAAGCAAAGCCAAGGGTGAAAGCAGAGAATTGGTACGCTCTAAAAATAATTTTGTCACAAGTTGTTCATTCACACTTAGTCCGTGTTAGGAGGTAGTAAATGATATCCCACAACCATTGCTGTAAGCTGGTAGCTCGCTTACGACACCAGTAATACTCTGCCAGACAAAATCCTAAAGGACAAAAATACCGGAGAAAGTGCTTAAGTTTAGCAACGTTCAAGTGATTTGCCTCTGGCTGCTCTGTGCTGAGGGACACATATAGATGATGCTGTTTCAGGAAAGAAGCAGCTGAAACCTGCTACAGAGAAAGACCACTGAAAATAAAAAAAGCTGACCAAATTGACACGTTTTTAAATCTGACCCTTGAGTGGGATTTTGTAAATCCAGTGTATTAGAGCTTGTGTGTGTGCGTTTGTGGGTTTGTATTGTTGAAGAATTAATGCCTTTGCAAAAGCAGGGGTTTTTTGCATGGATAAACCAAGAGTACTGAAGCAAATGTAGGTGACTGGTGTTTATTCATCTGTGCCTAACTATTAAATCCAGAAAATCCTCCGCTAATTTGGCTTCTCTTGCTTCCAATTGGGATGCACCAAAGGCATCCCGCTGCAGCTGAGCTGGGCTGATAGTAACTGTCTGTCCATTCTGACTTTCTTTTTAGACGGTTTCTTATACACAGTTCCTATTTCCCACCAATGCTCTGGGAACTCGGAGGAACACAATAGACTCCACCTCATCCTTCTCCCAATTTCGCAATGCAAGCCATCGTAGCCTTTCTTTGGCAAGAGCTAACAGCACCCAGGGGAGCATTGATGCAGGTAACTTCTCAAGAAGCTTGTTTTAATATCCTTGGGTACCCTGGTGATAGGCAGGTATTGTGGAGGACAGACACATGTCATGTTTTAGTCCCCCTTTTTGCTTAAATTAAGCAAAATACAGTCTCATGTCGTAGGGGAAACAGCTCGTCCCATGTTTATTTAGCAAAGCTGGCTTGTGGATGGTGACAAGTTAAATAAACAAGGCTGCTGGTCGTATCGCCTGTCCCTGATGGCACACGGTGAGCCTCCTCCTGTCACCAGCGTTGATTGTTCCTCCTGCATGAGGCCCATCGTTGCCTTCATTTGCTATGGAAAATTTACAGTGGCAACACAGTAGTCATAAGCTGAAGGTGTAAATCATCCTCATGACCTTTATTAGGCTGGAAAGGACTGTGTTTACAAAACCAGGCACAAAACATAAGCCAAAGCACTATATGCTTAAGATACTTTGGCATGTTTAATGAAACAAATCAAAACATCCACATAAACAGAGGAAAACTTGTTGCTGGGAATAAAAGTCATTGTGGAGCTTCATATAATTTCACAGTTCTGTAAGCCCTAAATTCGTATTTACCAGCTAATTCATAAGCTGTAGGTCCTCTGTATCTTTGCAAATTTTATTAGTATTGAAATATTTAGAGTTTTCAAGATTTAGAGAAATCTTTCAAAAATCTTGCATGAAGATCATCTTGTGCGTTATCTGTGCCACTTCTGTTAAGTCCAGACATTTCTTGATGTAACGAGTTCCTTTCTTGTATTTACCATTGTTTTATAGGTAGCGACCTTGGAGACTTTGTTGAATACGACCCAAATCTTTTAGATGATCCCCAGTGGCCATGTGGCAAACATAAGCGGGTTTTAATATTTCCTTCATATATGGTAAGTGATACGCAAAATTAAGTGTAGCACAGACAAGTTTTGGTAACAATATTTTGAAGGGTGAGGTTACATTTGGCCGTATTTTAAGAAGATTATTTTTTTTTTAAATTATTAATTACAGCTGTTTGGAATGCTTTGTTCTAACTGACACTTACTGGGACATGTAAAAACAAACTCGTGGAGGTATTAAAAAAGTGAACGCTTTTATTAGCACTGTATTTCATAAATGCTGTAAATGAAAGGCTTGTTGGAACAATGCGTTCATTCTCTCGTATTCAGAGGAGAATTTATACTTCCTCTAATTGGCATCTGTTACAAAATAGGAGGATGCCCATTAGGGTTTTTCCAAAGTCATGAAGCTGCATTGTGTTTTGATGCTTATCATTCACTCCTTGGAACAGCGCTTTGGTGTCTAGTAGAGCCTTTGTTTCCCAGGTATTTATTTCACCATGGGATAGTCCTTCTTTAATTGCAGAAATTATGAGCAGAGCCAGTGTATTTTTCACTATGTCCAAACCCATAACGATACAGACGGATAACTCTTCCTCGGTCTGTGCTCTGACGTGGTGTTTTCTCTGCTGAGAGACTTCTGTAGCCTTCTTTTTGGTCGCACCACGTCTGTCAACTGGTGTGCGATTTTGGCAGGACAGCTGCAAGATGTGGTGCTGTCTCAGGTGTGTGAGCACGTATCTGTCTGAATTCTACATCCAAAGTAGTAGTAGGCAGCAGGAAAAAGCACTTTTGTTTTGTTTTGTTTTTTTTTTTAAGTGGTGATCTAGTACTCATATATACAAATAGGATAGGATTTGAAACACTGATGTCTAAAGTGCCATCCATGCCCTCACTTAACTTGGTATGATTTAATAATCTACTAACATACGTAAAGATGTGGTCTTCATAGATTCTTTTCTGCCCCTGTCCCTGGGCTTTATTTGATAATAGGGCTCTTGGGTGCACCTTCTTCAAAATAAATGGATTTTACATGTTCCTTGTAGTCTGAAGCTTAACTCCTTGCTGGCAGGAGAGTTCTGCCTGTTGCAGAGGAAGGCGTGATTGAGCTCTGAGCTCTGTGTTTGTGCTGAGTTTCCCAGCAGGAAGTTCAGGATGCCCTCTGCTCACTTTCTGCCAGGTTTACTTTTAGGGTTGGCAAGTTATTTTTTGGCTGCCAACCCACCAAGTGCCAGCCTTTCATGGCAGCTACTTCTGGAGGGGGGGGGAAATATTAGTTAGGTTTCGGTGTGGTTACTGTCCCGGGCAGGGAACTGTCACCCCTCAATCGGAAGGACATCGTTAACTGGTGTCGATAGCCAACACAGCTCTCCCAGTCACACTTGTGTTTCCAGCCGCCCTTGGGCTGCGAATGTGCGCCAGGCAATCTGAGTCCTCGGGGATCACCTGAGGTCCTTGATCCCTTTTCAACTTGGTGTTGAGATGGACGTGGTCAGGAGAGCCAGAACGGGTCAGGGGAGGTCTCTGCCCAGGAGTTCCATGACCCTCTTTTCCATGTGCTGGTTAACCACAGCATTTTGAGGTACTTTTGTTGCAATAAGGAGCTGGCTGGGGGTTTCCACTGTGACAGAGGTATGATTAGAGGCTTTAAAGGTGACAAATGGACTTCTCGGGCAATTGTTAAAATCAACATCATTATTTGGCTAGAATATATCTGCATTGGCTGGGGTCTCCCTGCTTTTTCGTTTTCTGTAAGAGTTTAACTCCTACTACTGCTGTGTCTGGAAAAATATCTTATTTCATCTTTTGGGGTTTCTTTTTGCCTGAATTTGCCTTCCAGCCGTCCCTTCCTCCGCACTGCCCGAGGGTCTGCAGCAGTCACTTCTCCCTCTCTGAAAGCAGGTGCTAATCTATGAAAGGCTGAAGGACATGAGGAGCTGTGCTTCTTTTCTCGGTGGGAGTAACTGGCACGTGCCAAGAGCTCACTTGTCCAAGGTCCAAGGGTTTTGCCTGGCCCTGGTTGAAGCAGCATAGCTGTGACGCCAGGCAGGGGCTGCCAGGCTTTGTGAGAAACCGAAGAGCGGGCGGTTGCTCTTCAGGACTCAGCTGAAGGATTTCACAAGGGGATGGTGCTTCCTTCAGCTGCAAGGAGGAGAAGAAGGTAGTGGCCCAGGAGCTTGCAGGTTAACTAGGATTTTGCAACTCAGGCTGTGGGTAAGGAGGGCGAGCTGGGGAATAGAGGGCCATACTGGCTCTGTGGGAGACTTCACTCACATCCGTTTGGACTTTCCAGGCTGGGCTGGCATTCCCCCTCACTGCAACTCACGTCAGCCTGAACAGGAGCACAACAGGCTGTAATTTCAAGTCGTTTTCTTCCCCAGATATAAAAATCAGTGTATGCTGCAATTAAAGCAAATTGCAGTCTGAGGCCAGCGAGGAACCTGGGGGGTGTTTTTTTTTCCCCTGTCCGTGCACAGGCATGGCGGTGTGGACAGGCCTCCGCCACGCCACCGCGGAGCTGTGGAGCTGCTGCCAACCAGCCTCTGGTCCTGAGCGGAATGTAGCAGTAATTAACTGCCTCTCCAAGCGCCGGCGCAGCTGAGAGCAGCTCTGATGTCAGCGCCCAACGTGCCGTTGTGTGCAGAGAGCTTGTAATTAAAGTTGCATTACTTGGCCAGCGTTTAGTACTAACGCTTGGCAGCTGCCAGCTTGTAGATATTTCCCACCCCCCAACCCCCATCCTCCCATCCCCTATGGAGGTGGGAGCAATTAATGGGGGGAAGGTTGGGTGCAAGGGGAAGGGGCAGACGTGGCAGCGGGGTGAGGGAGGCTGGATGCTGGGCTGGCTGCATCCAGCTGGAATGGGGCTACAGGCACCGGTGTTCCTCCTGGGAGCCCGGCTCCTGCTTTGCTGGCCAGGATCTCTCCGCCAGGGAAACTCCCATCAGCGTGAACACCACCTCAGTAAACACTGCAGGCTTTATCCCGGGGCAACGGACGGGCAAAATGTGTGGTCTTGCTTGGATTTTCCTCTGAAAATACCTGCGGCCAGCACTTGAGCCTGTGCGACATGACATGCCGTTCCCTCCATTTTTTGGGGAGCCTGAGTTTGACATCACTGACTGATTTTAAGTCTTGTACCTTTACTGGGCTGAATTGGTCCTGACGTGCAGAGGATTTCTAACTGCAAGTCCTCAGCTGTTTTCAAGGGGTAGCTGAGCTTCCTCCTTGAAGATATCTGTGGGGAAGGAGAAGTGCTTTCTGTTTGGTCATTTTTTTACGGCAAAGTTCCTAGCCTGAATGGGTACACACTTCCCTGTCCCGTCTCTAAAAGTAATACCCGCAAACAGCCTGTCAGGGGGTCATTCTGAAACAGCAGCTTCAGTAGTTACCCAACACAAACTCTACGGCTTCTACTAATTGTGTTAGTCCTATTTAAATTCTGGTCTACCCCAGAGAAATTATGTTGCTTTATGTTGGCTTCGTAGGAGAGTCTACAATCTCTACGGCAACATAAACAGTAAGAGGTAGAAGAATTTCATGCTGGGGGGTGGGGGGAAGAGGGAAACATCGTGTCACAGTTAACAGATGTCTTCCTGGCTGATACTGCTAAAACAGGAATTCTTGCAGATTCGTAAATCTCTCTAGAATGGGAACAGACAGAGCAGTGATTTCTGTGCTAGAGTCTCACGCTGACCAGGGTACGTCCAAACTCATTGGTGCCTCCCTGCGTTCTTGCCAGCAGAAATGAACTCCTTCCCTGCAGAGGAATTATAGAATCACAGAATGGTTTGGTTTGGAAGGGACCTTAAAGATCACCCAGTTCCAACCCCCCTGCCATGGGCAGGGACACCTCCCACTAGACCAGGTTGCTCAAAGCCCCATCCAGCCTGGCCTTGAACACTTCCAGGGATGGGGCACCCACCACTTCTCTGGGAAACCTGTTCCAGTGTCTCACCACCCTCACAGGAAAGAATTTCTTCCTAATATCTAATCTAAATCTCCGCTCTTTCAGTTTAAAGCCATTACCCCTCATCCTATCACTACACTCCCTGATAAAAGTCCCTCCCCATCTCTCCTGTAGCCCCCTTCAGGTACTGGAAGGCCATTATAAGGTCTCCCCAGAGCCTTCTCTTCTCCAGGCTGAACAACCCCAGGTCTCTCAGCCTGTCTTCACAGGAGAGGTGCTCCATCCCTCTGATCACCCCTCACTGGGCATGCGGCTGGCCCCCGCTGTCCTGCTTTTGTTGGTAACACACAAACACGGGAACATCTTCAGGTGGCTGTTTTGGGTTGCCAAAACGTGCAGCAAAAGAAGAGAAGCCCATATCAGTAGCGTCTTGACTTTGAGTGACCCTTCTGTAGCAACATCCCTGCGCTATCCATCTGTCTGTGCCCAAGGGAGGCGCTTGGAAATTGGTTTGGGTACTTAACTACAATTTCAGCGTATTGGTTTAATGATGTCAAAATAAATTGGCATCTCGACACAGCTCATAAAAAAGCACGTCGCAGAATTCTGCAGTGCTCTTACAGCGGGCTGACCGTCAGCCTGCATTTGCCAGGTACCGCTGTCGAGCACAGCCAGGCTGCGTTATTAAATATTAGTCCTCCAGTGTGATTTTAAAATTAGAAGTGCTTGCTGCCCTGGCCGTTCAGCCTAACAAAAGCCCTGCATGATGATGTAGCGCATTCGGTCTCTCTCCCGCCCCGTTCTGTCTTTCACAAGGAGCACCAAGGTCAGGAATCCTCCGCTACAGCCAGAGTCCTTCAGTGCCCTCACCCTGTTCTTCGAGCCGCTTCCGTAGCTGTAAATTAAGCATCTCCAGACTGCTTTTTAATCAGCTGCTGACCTTGTACCCAAAAGTCTCAGGGAGCAGAGAATCACAGGGGTGGTATATATATTCCGAGTTAAGCCCTCTGCTCTATGCATTTGGTGCTATATTTGGCTGAGACTCCAATAAACAACTATTTTGTAGCAATGACACGCTGCATTAATTGAGAATGATTCCAGTGTGTTAACCGAATAAAATAAACTGGCGTCCTTCCATGTA